TGCCCAGTGTACCAGTGTTCTAATCACTGAAGAAGCAGGGTTTGCTCTGCTCTTGCTGAATCCCATTTCTATCATAGTATTTTCAATCTCCTGGCATTATTTTTTTTCTTTGTTAGATTTTAGTTTTATAAAGAACCTATAAGCTATTTCCTTCTTTTTTTGCCAAGACACTATCGTCTATGTAGAGAATGAGAAATGTCTACATTTAAACTCTGTTGCAGCAACATGGTTATATTGACTCCAGTTACCACCAGCACCAAAACCAATGGCTCGAGTCCATGCACAGACTTTGGAGATAGTTGCAACACTAGAGTCACCTTTTCATTCTGGAAGTGATAAATTCTTTAGGCATAGTAGGCAGGAAAATGGAACCTGTCACCAGAAGACAGATGAGGGCAGCATTTCCCTGTAATGTCAGGACACGTATGTTCTTCTCTAAACAGGTTTTCATCTTAGTTCTTAGTGTCTAAGCTCCTTCCTTTGGCAGCCTTGCCAAATGTTCTGTTTTTTCATATGAAATTCATATAAAATTTGGGAGCTGTGTTGCTTGTGAGACATGCAGAAAGTATAGAAAAAGCAGAGGTAGCCTTCACAACTCTGAAACTTGTTTATGCTCAGGAAGTTTGATCCCCTTTCCTCATGGTTTCTTTAGCATTGCTTTTTGTTTGTTTGTGTTTTGGTTTCTTGTTGTCATTGTCATTTTTTTAAAATAATTTTCTTTATTGAGTGGTGTATTTCCTGTTTCCCTAACTTTTAAAGGAAAGAATAGCTACAGTAGGCAACACTGGTGAAACAACAGTGCCACAAATGTGGGCAGAAGTCCTGCTACTGTGTTTTTATATGTTGATGCTGTTGTCTCTTTCTCTGTTGATATCTTCCTTGTGTCATGACCAGGCTGATGATGATATTTAACTGTCAGAACTGGGAAGTTTCCAGCTGATACTGTTGATCCTGAAAGGCTTTTCCTAAAGAGCTAACTGTCCATCTCACAGACCCTATTATCCTTGGGATGTTTAGAGTTCAGTTTGCTCCTCTAAACCAAATAAGAGCTACGGCATTCCCACAGCCAAGGTGACTCTGTAAGACCAAGCCAACCATGGTTAAAACCCCTCTCTCCTCTCACTGCAGTGCTGCAATGGATGACTTCATATTTTATTTTTTGAGCTTTCAGCTGACAGTTGGATCTTCTGGTCCTGCTTAGCATGCGGCAGCACCGAGCCGGCACTCCTCCCGCTCGTCCGAGTGCGAAGATTCATTAGCCTGCATTTATCAGCTCTTGCCAGGAAAATGGTGAATAATGAGGCCTGGTTCAGGTAATGAAATGATCTCCCTCTCACATCTGATTACATTGCTGCTTATTATTTCCTCGGTGTGTAATTTTGCTTCCCTGGAAACTTGTTTTGTAAACATTAATGACTGTGCAGCTCTGGCCTGAAGTTAAACCAGCCCAGCAGTGCTGCAGGAGCCTGCAGAGCTGTGTGGCCTGGCTGTTGGTGTTACTGCTTTTGCTTCATTAGCTAATATGAGGATGGAGACATTCTCTGCTCCGGTGCTGGAAGGCACAAGGCACAACACTAGAAAAGGTGCAGCCCTTCGCTTCCTCAGAAGCAGCTTATACACTTTGTTCAGGTATCAGCGCTGTGATCTAGCCTAACTGCCCTTGTTCTCTGTCCTTGAGTTTCTCAGAGAGATATCTACCATGATACCTCTCCATTTGTAATTTGTTAGTCAAGAAAAAGACGTATTCCTCTCATTTCTTCCTTTATTCCTTTTCTTCCTGATTAACTTTCTGAAACAGCACTGCAGGCTATTCCAGATGTTTTATATGAGAATACTACAATTATTTTCTCCCTACTGGAATGACTTTTCTTCTACATTTTGGAATTGCATCTGCTTTTTCCATGTCAGCATCCATTTAGCAGCACGGAGTCATGCTAAGTTCACCAAATGCAGCAAGAAATACTCATCCTTAGCCTCAAAGAGTTGACGTTGCACTGTGTGTTCTTTGTCCCATTAATACAACATAAGCCCTTATCATCCAGTCTTTCTAGACAGTCTTCTCACTGACCTCTCTGTGACCTCAGTGACACCATCCCCACTTTAGCTACTTCCTTCTCCAAGTTATCTTTGTTTGAAGAATCCCCAGTTCTCCAAGGATTCCATTTGTACCTGTGAGAGATGTTTAACTGAAGGGTTAGCACTCTGGAAACATCTCATATATCTATGATAAGCTCTATTCTTGAACTAATTCCTCCTTCAGTAGCACAACTCATTGCAGTGGCTTTGATGTTCCCGTGACAGACAGTCCAGAAAACGCAGGGCAGCTTTGTTTTACTGCTGAAGAAGTGAAGCTCTGCATATGTAGGATGTAATTTATTTTTACAAGCTCCTGGGCCTCCTGTAATTATTATATATCTTCCCAAGGTGAGTCTCTCATTTCCCTTCTCCTCATTATTGCTTTACCATGCCGCATTGGAGCACTAGTAGATGCCTGGGACTCCCTTGTGTAAGGCACTGCACAAGCAAGGAGCAGAGGAGTCACCAGCCCAAGTCAATCCAGACAGCAGCACATGTGAGCCAGTCCCTAAGAGTGCAGGCCAGTAGCCAGTGGTTTGAACAAGGCAACAAGACAACGCTGTTTCACCAACCCCCCCATGTCACTGTGCAGAGACTTATCTGACACTTTTTCTCTCTCCTGCCCTCTCTATGCTGCACTTGGGGGGCTATGCATTTCTTAGGAAACACGTTTTCCTGCAGTCCCTTTGGACACATGAAAGCTGCTGAAAGTAAATCTCATCCTGTGGGTTGGTTGTGTTTCACCCAGGAGTGCCTGGAAGAGTTTTATGGTCTCTTTAGAGGGATTGTCAAGGTACAGATCATAAATCTGAGGAGGCACCTGGCTCTGTTACGGTTATGTGGTGTGCATTGCTGGGCCAAAGTATGCCCAGGGTGGTGCCTCCCCCTGTGTTACCCAGGATACATTTGATCCTGTATTGATTACATACAAATTCACCCGGTTACTAAAAGCTAAATTTGACCCCACAGTGCAGGGGGTCCTAGTGAAATCAGCCAATTTATTGGCCTAATCAATGCTATATGGCTTCTCTGCAGGAGCTGAAAAAAAATCTAAGTCATCTTTGCATTAAAACAAGTGTGGGGGATAGACATTTCCACAAAGAATGCCTCAATCTTTTTAAATTAGGTTTCTTTTTTTCCCTAAACTATTGACTAATGGACTGAAAATTTTCTAAATGCCTCTTTTATTGAAGACAATGCCATTTTTCTCAGGAAAGAAAATCGTTAAGTGACAAGTGAACAACGAATCTCTCATTGTCAGTGTGTTTCTCTGGCTCAGCTGGGGAAACAGGTGTGGAAAACGTTTAAATTAAATGGTTCTCCAAACTCTGAGTCAAAACGTAAATTGTTAGAGTCTGATGGCTTTGTTTTCTTCAGGGTTTCACGCATTTTTGCTCAGGAGTCCAATTGTGTGTTATTCCAGAAATCAGTGACCTGGTGCTAAGCTCTTCAGTGCATTAATTTCCCTGAAACTTCATCCCAACACCCTGAACATTTTGGACAATTTCCCACGGGTCCTGGGGTCTTTGCTGGTCACATCTAACTGTTCCCCCATGATGAAGCTGCACTTAGGCAGCCCTCCCCATGTTTCAGCCCATCCATAGGCAGCTGCTGCATATGACAAGTCACCCCATGCTGGAGTTGATGTGCCACCTCATCACCTCTGTATGATCATCCCAAACCTGGGAAAGGTCAAACTAGAGCTTTGCCAGAGCAATGACTAACTCTTGTTTTGCTGCCATGAGCTTTGCCCTTCTGAGACAAGCTGTTATAAACCCTGTACTTTGTACCCAGGGCACATCAGACCAATCTCAAGTCCCTTTTCAGTATTTGCTTGAAGAGATTAGTGACTCCAGGTGAAGGTCACAAGCTCCACTGAGTTTGGCTCCTTTAAGACAATTCATAATAGCATTCCTGTGTCCATCAAATATTCTATCTATCTTATCTAAAACCACAGAACTGATGGAAGGGAGCAAAGCAAGTGTGGCTTATGCATCCTCCTGGCTACAGCAGTGTCCCTTGTTTGTAGGCATTTCCATCAGCAGAGGTAGGAGTGGGTTCTCCTGCTGTTCCAGAGGTGAACATACTTTAAGCAGCCAAAAATCCAGGCTGTTAATTGGGGTTTAAATTTCTTACTAATAAATGTGCTTAATGGCAGAGAAGATGAATTTTCCCAGATAACGATAATTTGGAGACCCCAATCCTTGCAACCTTGGGCACTGCTGCTCAGACTCATCACACTCAGGGCCAAATCCTTCTCATTTTTTAAACAGTGGCAGACACAGAATACAGCTGAAATCTTTTTCATCTGGGGGAACTGAATGCTCCTGTTGTAGAAAATACCAAGTGTGTTACATCAATTACCTTTCCCTCTTAAAAGACTGATGCCAAAGGGCTCATATGGTCCAAATTAGGCAAGATTCACCAGAGACAGCAGAGTTGTGGGTGTGATTTTGTTTGGTTGTTGGCTTTTTTATTTTCAATAGTGTGGCTTAGTGTCTTATGTATGGTTTCTAAGTAAGATTTTTCAAATGATAGTGATAATATTGAATTTGGAGGAATAGGGACAATACTGGCATAAAGTGCAGGATATTTCAGTAACTGCATGGAGGAATATTGATTTCATTAAAAAAAAGAAAAACAAAGCTAAATTTTAGCACAGAAAGAGAGGAAGGACTCCTTCATTATTTTGTTTTATTGACAACACTCAAGATTTTAGAAAAATATTAATCCTAAGGTTCTGAATTACTTAAAGCCTCATGCTGTTGCTTGTGTTTAGAACTCTTTACAAATCCTCTGACTTTGGCTTTGTAACTGTTCCCTTGATTTTACTTGGTTGTCATGAGAAGCAGTGAGAAACAGTTAAGGAGCTTTTCATTTCCTGAGATTTGCATTTCAGTTTCCTTAGGGTAGACTGTTTTTGATATGGGGAAGATGTGACTCACCTTCTGGAGAGGACTGAAGCCCTGAGAGTGCTGCTCCCTGGGGACTCTGGAGAGGAGGGACAGCTCTTGGGCCAGGAGTCTGCAGGTAAGTAAGATATTTCAAAGAAATTCATTGCTCTTGCTGTGTTAAATTGTGCTGCTGGAGAATACACAGTTGCGTGGAAAAATATTTCCTGACTCACTTAGAATTTCATGAGACACAAGCCCATCTAGGATTGCTGTTTATCTTGTCTAGGAACCAAGACAGAGCTCTGTTGCATATTTAATTAGATAGGGGGAAGGCAAAGAATCTTAAGATAAGATTATCTTATGCTCCTCATCACAGCCCTCATGTAAAAAGTTTGCATGGTATGCAAAACAGAGTCTGATGGTAAGACATTTGTTTTTGAGGACGATGAAAACAGCTTTGCAGAATAATACTTTTTTTGGTTGAATACTCCTATGAATTCTTTTCTGTGTGTGAGTATAAAAATTTATTGTGCGTTGTTATGAAAATGAACCAGGAGTTGAAAAGATTTGAGTGGGAATCTGGGGCTTCTGGAAGAATAAACACTTTCATTCCTATGGCTGCTGAAAGCAGAAAAAGAAGAGCAAGTGAAGAGAACCTTAGTTTCTCCTTGCTGCAATAGGCTGACAATAATCAGAATTAAGGCACTGGGAATAACAGTATAAAGTCAGTCAGAAGCCAGAGCAATGGAGTTTTATAGCAAACAATTGAGTTTATATTGTGGTCTCTCAGTTCCAGTTTTGCAAAGGTTTTTGAGTACAATTAGGGACTGGTTGCTAATCCTTACCGTGGAGTCAGCTGCAAGAGCAGAGTTTGAGGTGGCAGAAGGGGTGTGAAGAGGATGGAGAAGCAGGATGGAGTCTTGTGTGGTTTTCTGTTTATCTTTAAAACTTCAGTGTTGGAACCAGTGTGCAACAAGTATTGCAACAACATATCACTCCCACACAAACAACAGAAATGTCACAAGTCTGCACCACCACCAACCACCACAGCTGCAGACCATCCTCTGCTCTGAGCTAGTCTGTGCCTTTGTAACTCAAAAACCTTCAGATCTGTGCTCTCCCCTTGAAGCAAGGGCCAGAGGAAGCCTGGGGGATGTCTGTACAGCTAATCAGTGTTATCTGTACTGTCCAGGATTTGCTGAGGAGCTGGGGTCCTGCTCTCCTCCTGGCAGAGGGATATGGACGGCAGAGGAGATGGTGCTTTAAACCCAGTTCCGCTAATTCTGCATCTTTGAACAAGTTGTTACTGCTATTCAATAAGCTCCCTATCTGTGAGATTAATGGTTATGAAATGCTGATATTGCACTCTGGTCATGAATCACTGATGGGTATCAAGAGATATCTTGGTGTGGGGAGTGACTGGATGAGCCTCCTGGGGATGTTTTGTAACCTGGGCAGGGGGAACATGCATGCACTGGGATAAGCACAAAACTTCTCTAAAAAGGACTAAGTCCATTAGGCTACCTTGGTCCAAGAGAATTCTCATCTCTGTGCTGTTTAGGAAGGGATTTAAGTTGCTCTGGGCCAGAGAGAGATCCACGTTGTACATGGGAAAGCTTGAATTCCTAACTCAGAGGTGTCTATAGCTTTCATACTCAGCAGTTAAATCCTGGCAAAAAGCATTCACGGTGCCAGACAAACAAGTAAAATTCGGGAACAAGTAACTGCCTTTGCGGTTTCATGAGGATCTCTGTGTCTCTGCACTTCCAAATGCTGGCATAATAAATCCTGAAGTGCCTTTTTGCTCACAGCAGACATGATTAATACAGCTGGTAGCTGGTGTGTCTGCTAGAGGAAACAATTGACAACCCCTGGGTGGATAAGCACCAGAGGCCTGAAAACCCCACGATTTTCTCCACTTTTGAGAAACTAAGACATAAAATAAAAATGTTCTTATTTTCCTCTTCAAATCCATAATCAGACATGACGTAAAGACAGTCACTTCATCAACAAGTAAGTACTTTGAAGAGTGCCTGCTAAAGTGAAAAGGCTCTGATGTTCTGCACAGCTGGAGCCCCTGTGGGATGCAACATAAGCATCATGGCAGCATGTCCCATCCGCTGCACTGTAGCCCCTTCTGCCCACTCAGCTTGGGGACTGAGGGATGTCCAGATGTGCAATGTCTCTTTTCCACTTAGCAGGTCTCCTACAAGGTGAGAAGGGGGCTGTTAGGATAGTTAGGAGTGCTGAGCCCTCTAAACTTCAGGCTATCGATGCATCTTTCCTCTTCCTCTCACCCATTTTCCCCCAGGGAAATCCTGAGTAGGACACAAATATCCTCCATGACTTTACCAGTTTTCTCTTCTGCTTCTTCCAGCATAATCACATCCACTGATTTCTGCTTGTTTGCAGGTTTTGTTTGCAGCTGGAAGCTCAAACCACTATTTATTTTCTGTATGGGTTCCTAATCTGGAAATGGATCTAATTTGCTTTACCAAATTACAAGTGAATTAAGCTAAACACAATGTGTTATATCTGGATACAATGTGGAGCTTTCATGAAAGAGGAAAAAACATGTTTGTCATTGCTGTGAGTTTCTTCTTGCCTCGGTATCTATAACTTTGTGTTCTCAAAAAATATAAAATGTCTCTATAAATGGTAGAGTTTTTCCTTGGGGCTTGGAGCTGAGGAGCTGGAACTGCATCTGTTTCACATCTTTCATCCTCTCAGCCCTCAAAGAATACCCTTGCTAACATCCCAACACTCCTCCCCTTGTTCTTAGACACACTTTGATTATCTGCAATATTGCATTTGATAGTATTACTAAATAGTTCTTAAAAGTTTACCTTTTGGCAACTGCTTCTTCCCTTTCAAATGGATTTTTTCCCCCTACCTGTAAATCAGCTTTAGAGCATTGTATATCTAAGGAAAGTAAATATCCCACTGCTCTGAACGAGACAAGTATTTTGCATTTCCATTTCCTGACCCATCAGCGAGAATTTTGTGCAAAATGCAGTAGAAATGTCAGAGTGATAAAATAGCATTGGTTTTGGTTCATTCTCTGGTTAGAACAGCTGATGTTACGGAAAACAGCCAGTGCTATCCAGACCTTGGGGAGGCCAAATACTTTATGGGTACTGCTACATTTCAATGACAGCTTTACTGACTGACAAATACTACAACACCTGAGGTTTTAGTTACAATTTCTTAGTTTACTGTTTTAAACCTGAGGTATATGTGAAATTATATATTATATATACAATATATCTGGTTTATGTATATAATATTTAATATTATATGTATATATTAAATATTTCTTTTCTAGGAAAGTTTGCAATCTGGATGCTAAATGAGCTCCCCATAATGCATTTATAGACACAAATATCAGGTTTAGTTTCCTGCCACTAAACCACATTTCTTCTGAGATGGGGTAAACACTGTTCCTCTTCAGAAAGTCTGTTTAAAGCAACTGATTTGCAAGATTATTTTTTAGCTGAGAACAATTAAGAACTCTAACAGCTTATCCAGCTGTGATAATTAACAGTAACTAAGCCCATCTTTGGGGAAGTACAGCAAGCTGTCCTATTTTAGTCCTTCCATGCTAAGGACTGAGAAAATAATGTAAATGGCCATTGCTCTCCTGAGCAGCTCCTTGGGATGGAGGGCCTGGGACAGAATCAGAGCTGGGCGTGAGCTGCCACAGAGGTGATTTCTACCCGCCTATCTCTGAAGGTGTGTCATTTTGGTAAACACAGGTGACTAATTTGACTTTGTCATCGTGACATAAGCAAAGCCCGTGTTCAGTCAGGGTGGAAGTGCTCGCTACTCCCTTCTTACAGGAGGGGATTGTTTTATGTTAATAGCTCCTAGAGGCAGCCTCCTGGGCTCCTGCTGGGCTTGTCCAGTGCTGCCCAGGGCAGGATGCTGGGGAGGCTGGTGGGGCACAGCCCTGGGCTGTGGCACCAGCTGGCTCGGCCGGTCCTGTGCCCCGCCAGGGCTGTCGGCAACAAAGCGAGGGACGCTCAGCAGATGGCTGATCCAGGTGGGTAAAAAGCCTTTGGTCACTGTTTCGTGCTGCAGCATGGAGGGAGAGGGTATTTGCAGGAAAGGCTCAGAAAATTACCCTCATTTACTACTGTGACTGAGTTACTGCAGAGCTGCATCTCCTGGGGTTACAAGCACTCCTGGGATACGGAGCACACTCAGAGCTCTCACCAGCACAGTGCACAGGGATAATGGCAGCAACTACAAACAGATACTTCATGTCAGGGAACATGCTAATTAAAATAGATAAAGAAATATTCCTCCTTCTACCCAGCTGCCAGGTTTCCAGAGGAGGACGAGTGCAAGTCCCTGCAAGTGTCAGACTTGCACCCTTCAGCTCCCCTCAGTGCTCTTTGACAAGTTGTAACCACCACTGCGTGTGCTTGTGCCAGGCAGTGCCCTGGATTACGTGGCAGATGGACGACTTCCTGGTAAAGAGACAGTTTCTCTTTTTAACCTGTACCACCACTTCCTTGGCCGTGCCTTTGCAGACCCCTCACCCTATCAAGGCTGGGCTGAATGGGGTTGTCTGTGCTCCCATGGGATGGTTGACAGTCTCCTGTATGGGGCATTACCCTTGTCTTCCTTGGGAAGAAGCTTGTCCCTTTACAATCCAACATACTGCTTGCTGCAGATCTGACTCTGGCACTTGCTGGTCTCACTGGCACTCTGTAAGACAAATAGGAGAAGCAGGAGATTAAATTTACCGGGAGGTCTGGGAGCCAAGATTTACAACTGGGATTTTCTAGCCATTCACACAGTCCTGGCACCCATGAGTGGGTCTGGGGCCAAAGCACTTAATGTAATTTTACCATCTCAACACAGGCAGGAAGAGATGCTCCCCATGCCCAGTTCTGTAGTGGTAGTGGTTTCCTTTCCTTTCCTGGCAACAGCCAGGGAGGGCAGAACACTGAAACCAGGGACATCTTCGTGTCCATACTTTCCTACATGCCCTGGTCACCCACTGGGCATTTCTCAACCCAAGTCCCACATTTGCAAGTACAGGGCTCCGTAGCATAGCTTCTTGGGTACACCTACCTGGGTGTAGGTACTGGGTGAGCAGTCTCAGCTACCTTGCAAAGACCACCTGTGCAGGTGTGCAATGCAAAAGCCAGAGTCTGAGATAGCCATTGCTATTTTTGCGGAGTCTCCCTGCTGCTGTCCTTGTTGTGGCCTGTCATTGGGCTTGTTTCCATCAAGAGGAGCCAGAGTCCTTTTCTCGTTGTGCTGTGGGTGACAGTGTGCTAATGGCATCACCGTGGTAGCCTGATGGGGTGTAATGTATCATCATTAGAGTGCAGTAATGTGGTACCCAGCTTGCATGAGAACGACTGCCAGCCTCCCACCAGGCTGCATTTTAGCAGACTTCGTCTCTCCATCGGTGATTTTAGGATTAGAAGCTGTTTTGGAGTTACTTGTGCTGCTGGCAGTTTGCTCAACTCACTAGTTGGGCCATTTAAAAGCAAGGTGTTAGCAGGGTGAGAGGATGCTGCAGGCTTAGGAAGTCTCAGCCCTGCATCCTTTGACCTCTTAATCAGGAAGTTTAGAAGAGATTTTTACTTTAAGATCTACCAAAACTAAAGGAAAAAAAAAACAACAACCAAATGAAATAAGCTGCAAATGTAACAAAGCTCACACCACCTGCTGAGTCTTTTTCACATTAGAAAGTACATTTGGCTCTTAGAGAATTGAAATGTGTAATTTGAACCCTCAATCCCTTTCCCCCTGTAACAATTGCTTTTTCCCTCTTCCCTTCCTGAAGCTTGACTCATTGTTTTCTTTTATAAACTCTTTTATAGGTAAAGAAGCTTTCAGAAATGACAGAAGGCCTACAAATTTTGATAAAAAGGTATTATTATGGGCAGGACGCTTTAAAAAGGAGGAGGACATTCCCAAGCACATATCGTAAGTGGATCAGTCAGAATGATACTTTTGTCTGTGAACACACAGATTGACACCCCAGTCTGCATTACCCAGAACTGTGCTCATATGGTGAGAGTTAGTGCTCCCTCATAGTGATGGGTCTTGTTGTTACTGGTGTCCAAAAGTAATTGTAATTCTTGGGAACTTGATCTTTTTGCCATTATAGGTGAAATAAGCTGGATTTATTTGTTTTAGATATCATAAATTTCAGACTAAATTGTAGTGTCTTTTACAAGACAAGTGGCTTTGTAACTCAGGAGTCACCATGGTAAGATATTATCCACTTTGGACTTTGCTAGGTTTAATTGATTACCAATATTGCTGCATGAATTTTAATAATAAATTGGGGCTATACACAGCTTTGGTGACAGACATATTCAGTGAGCTCCTCATGTCTGGCCTGTGGTTTCATCTTCTTGTTGAGGTATTTTGTTAAAGAATTGTCACTCGGGTTTGGAGTCATAAGCTTTTGACTTGAGACATCCAGGGGGCTTCTCCAGCCATCCTTCCCCTTGCAGGTGTAAGTACTCCCATGTGCAATCAAAGCAGACAGGAGAGCAGGATTTGTTATTCCTGTTCTTACTGATGGCTATTGGAAGTAGCAGTACCCCATTTGTGTGGGAGGATGGCTAAACCTTTCCCCCCAAGGCTAATTTTTTCAGTCCTCCTCTAAGCAGTTGTGGAAAGGGAAGGCTGAAACCCATTGCACATTGACAGGCAGTTGCTGTTAGACTTGAGGATTCATTACTCAGCTCCCCATGATCTCATTTCACACATGCTGCTGCAGGATGGAAACTCTGCTCTGTCCTCGGCAGGTCTGATGTCCTCGACGCAGCAAGGAACATTGTCAGGATAAGGGTTTGCTACATCATGATTGCACTGACTGTGCTGGGCTGTTTGACCATGGTCATCACAGGCAAGGAAGTGAGTACTGTTTCTGGGTGAACTGATTCACATAATGTATGGTCTGTGTATGCTTTCTGTGAATAAGCACCTGGGTGGCAGAGTATAAGCACACATTAGCAATATTTGCACAGGACCTGTGTCTCCCCTTCTCTAGAGGAGAGATTGGCGTGGGGAAGCACAGCTTGGTGACTCACATGTTCCTTCTGACCCACTTTGCCATAAACCTGTTCAGTGCAATGTTCTGGGTTACAGTACCTCAGCAAGAGGCCAGTCCAAAGGTGATGGAGTAGCTCAGGCAGTGTCAATGGTACCTGGTCCTGCCTTACATGAGGCTCTTGTGGTCCTGCCCGCCTAGCCTGCGTGTTACCATGGCCACCAAGAGTTGTGACACTTCTTTCCATCCCACTGCTGGGGGAGGAGGGTCTACAATTTGACTTGGATGTCCCAGTGCACCTGTGAACAATTTACAGTGTAACTCTCCTGCTGATCAGAGCTGCAAATGCTGAAAATGTGGTATAACAAGGAAACACATAAACTTCTATTACTGCAAAATATCAAAAAGGAGAGTGGAGCCTCAAGGGAAGTGGTGCAAATGTGGGAAAATGTTGTGGTGGCAAGTATGTGCATGCAATGATCTTCACCAATTCTTTTCAAGGCTGCAAAAAAGGATCAGACGCTGCTGAGGGTGAACATGGAAAAGAAAGCCAAATGGAGAGCTGAAGTGGAGAAAGATCAGGAGGCAGCTGTTGGGAAGCCACAATGATTTGGAACAGATTTATTTTAACAGCAGGAGATAAGTGATTTGCACATGTGGCATATGGACCTGTCTTCATTTAACTCTTTAGAGCTTTTTCACTGAAACTCTCTCGAGGCAAAGACTTTGCTGCTTAAAAGCTGCTCAGTGTGAACCAGGAAACCCCTGAGGAAACTCCAACAGCTGCTTTTTGTGGCCTCTGATCTTTGGCACAAGGTTCAGCTGAAATACAAAACTGTCTTCTAAACTGGAAAGTGTGGGAAGGACAAAATCAGGACTCCCCATCTCAGGATCAGCTTTTCATGGTGCTGCTGGTGCTCAGTGTGGCTGTGGAGTTGTCTCCTTGCAGTCAGGTTGTGACCCTACATCAGGAAACATCCTGTTCCATGCAACGCCTCCGGGGCAAACAGCCTTGGCCAAAGACAACTGGGGCAGGGGGAAAAGCAGTCTGAAATATGTTTTGCAACCTCAGAGAGGTTAATTGTCTCTATCTCTCAGTTATCTTTGAGCTTGCTGCCATCACTGTCCCCTTTCCCTTCCCCCAGCCCCTCATGGGATGCCATGATCGGAGGACAGAGGTGACATGGGCATGAAGAGGGGCTGGGAGTATGGTAGAGTGTGAACAGACCCTGATGACTGATTTGGGCCAGAAGGGGCTTTGGGCCAGAGGAGATGGTGGTAGTGTGGAGTGGTTGCTGTGGGGTAGCCCAAGGAACCTATGCCTCATGCAGGGAGCCAGTTCTGGAGGCACCTCTTGTCCTGTAGCACCTCACTGGTTTTCCTTTTTCATCTTCTGCTTCCAGTCATTGTCATGAAAGTCGTCTGGCACTTGCTCAGCTGTGATTTTAGTCCGGAGTAATTGTTAATATGTGGTTTGCTAAAATTGGATTACTTTTAATCATCATAGTTCATTAACTCATAATAAAACAGCTGTCCAATTACATCTAAAACAAAAGCATCCCTTCACAGCTTCATTAAGAGTGTCACCAAACTTTCTGGAATGATGTTTAACAGATGGGAGAAATCCTGATGAAATAGAGAAAGTCATATTTTCACAAAGTGATTTAACTTCAAGACAGGCCGCAGTTCACGCCTGTGGGTGCCGATGTTCAGAGCCCCCTCATGTCATTCATAACCCCTTGAGACTTGTAGCGCTGGCTGGTGGAGCTGGGTGTGCTGCATGGGGTCCCAAGGGACACAGCGTGACAAACCCCAGCCATCTCACCCTGGCTGCTAGAGGAGATGCTGTAACCACTGCTCAGCCTTTGTGTAGTGTCCTGAGCATCACACTGAAGGTCGGCCTTCCCCAGGTTTATTACTTGGACCAGTCACACTTGTGCTCCAGCGGAGTCTGGAAGCTCCTGCTCAGGTCTCTAAAGTTTATTGTGTCAAAAACCATGTCCAGTTATTGCTGGAGTGCCACTGCACGAACAAGGTGCTGGCAAAGTTGGGCTGGGGCAGTGGCAGGAGGTCAGCAGCTGTCGGCCTCTGGGACTCTGCTGTGCCTGTGGTCACTGTGCAGCTTTTTCCATCTGATGCCTCTTAGGAGCACTTATCTCCATGCTGCACATCCATTTAGGGTGAGGGGGATGTTACCTCTGCCACACACAGATCCATGTTTGCAGTCCTTGTTTCCAGCTCACAGCCCCGTGCAGTACAGTTCACCAAGAGTGATGTCTGCTCCCTGTAGTATTCCTCATGAAGCACATCTCAGGGAAGTGAAAATAATGGTCTAGGACAAGTGCAGAGTGAAAAAGTCTCTGCTGAGAAGGCACTTTTGCTTCACAGGTAATATGGGCTCTTTCATTTTACATGACCTGGTTTTCCTGGCTAGTGCAATAAACCGTATGAATTACCTCAAAGTTAGTGTTCATTTGGGGATAACCTAAAAGAGCTCTGCTCAGTCTCTTAGATGATTTTTTTTTTTTCATTCTTAAATGGCTTTCCTGTGCCCTTTTTCAGAAGGCACGTGTGGCACTTAAAGGAACCATTTTGATGCTTCTAAACAAATCCACATCCATGTTCTGAGCTGCCCTGACTTAAGCAGGAAAGAAGATGATCATTGTCATATCTAAAGAACAAGAAAATTAATCGTGACTTGTTCCATTCTCTGCTCTGCACTCCCCTCTGTCTGGGAAAAAACCTGCTTTAGGTGTGAGCTATTATCAAATCCTCTTAAACAGCCACGGTCTCTATCGACAGTGCATAAAGCTGCTGCATTACACATCATCATTAAGAAAAAGGGAAAATCAATTCCTCCTCCCTGAGCCACCGGTAATGTACCACTTACGAGCCATCAGATGACCCAGGTGCTTTTGGGCTCTCACAAAGAGCTATGACTATTATGTAGGGAAAAAAACCTTTATCAGTCCCGGCTACATGATTATTCATGTTAACATCATAATATTCCCCAGAAAATCAATTGGACTGATTGCTGGCTTGCACTCAGTCGGTGGTGGGGGCTGCTGGTGTAGCACAGCCTCAGCTGGAGGCATTCCCTGTATGAAGTGGAGATGCCTCTCCTACACTGGGACCTATCATTGCTTGTTAAAATCTGTTTCCATCTGTGTCTCCAAAGTCCTTTGACTCTTCTCTTGAAAAGCTTCTAATTAACACAGACTCCTGATGGTATAATTGGCTGATCCTCATCACCTTACAGTTGTGAGTTTCTTTATTTCCCCTCCCATCTATATTGCTTCAGTGTCACACCTGATCTCCCAGGCGTTTAAAAAGCGGATGGGAGTTGTTATTGGGTAGGAGCTATTCTTCCCTTTTTAATAACGTGCTTTGCATTTTCCTAAGCAGGCCCTGAGGATGGTGTGAGGGGCTGGCTCTTTCCTGAGGCAGGGGGTGGAGTGGAGAGTGTGCCAGTTTGCTGTGGTGCTCAGAGAGACCAAGGGTGAGTCCTTTCTACTCTCACCTCCTCGTATGCTGCTCTGTACTGGGAGGAAAGGATGATTCCTCCCCTGTAGGATTTTTGCCTTTTTAGTGAACTCTTGTATGGCAATGGTTAACAATGTGCTGGTGGTTGGTGCTACAGAGATTTGTGTTACAATAACAATTACTGGGGAAGTTTTTCCCTAGTAGCTGGAGTTGATCTAATTCTGCTTCTATTAAAATTGGTGCTGAAGTTCCTCCTGGCTATGGATTAAGGTTATCTTTCACCATTTTTTGAAGTTTCAGTGATTTCCAGAGACTTAGCTTCCCCAGAGAGCCCCACTGCTGCAGGGCAGAGCTGAGTGCACTGAACTTTCTTCCTCTGGTGTGATATGATCAAGCTTGTATGGAAGGCTCTTCATCTTGAGCATCCCAGTGGGCCAGAGAAAAGGTGTGAGATGGGAAAGTTTGAGTTCAGGAGATCTCAGTCCCTTCCTTATTCATTTTCCCTCTCTTTTTGACCTGCTCAGGGGGTTTCTAGTGACACTTGATTTCTTTCCATCTATCTGCTATGTGCAGCTCTTCTCCTGGGATGCAGCAAGACTGACGTGTTGCTGCACTTGTGAAGGATTTTTTCCCAGGACTCAGATGAAATCTTGCCATTCACAAAGACCTAATTTTAAAGACTTCCTGTTCTTTCAGTGTTAATCTCCCACCAAGCTGAAAAACTGATGCTTATTTTAAGTCTGAATGCACCCATCTTCAGCTTCCAGGCACTGAACATTGTCTTCAATATGAAACATAAAATATCCCATCTCAGCTCTTTCCTGTCTGTAGCTGGTCACCTCTCAGCTGTTGTTTGCAGTTGGATTGCTGCAATGTTCAAAACACTTGTGGTTTCTAACCATTTCTTGGTGGGTATCACTGGCTTACTGGCCAGTTTATAGTGTATTTGTTCCTGTATCAAGTGATTTACTATATTAGTAACCTCTTTATAAACAATCCAAATAGATTTTTTTGTTTGTTCTAGCATAGAATCGATAATTTAGTACTCTTGCAGAAAGAAAGGATGTAAAAGCTTTCCAGACTTTACTGACTGCCCTGGAAAATGAAAAAGCACAATAGCTATGCATCAGAAACTATTTTTCCTCTGTCTGTGCCCAAGGCACCAGCACCTGCAGCCTGGCCAGCTAGTGCCTGTAGATCTGTGTTTTTTCCTGGGACTGCCAAGGGTCAGTTCAAAAGAGTTTCAAGGCTGAAGATCTCCTCTGGGTGAGATGCAGTGATGGTTTGGACCTGCAAAGGGGCCTGCTGCCTCTTGCCGCGAAGATCTTTCCACCTCAGAGCAGCATCATGCTTTCTCCCTTGCTCAGCACCGTTGCAGCAAGAACATGCTGGCTGCTGCTGGTCCACAGGGACTGGAGTCCTCATGACCATCATGATCCCAGAGATGGCTTAAACACCACTGACCTGTTTGGATTTGGCAAGAAGTGATCCTAGCCTAGCAGGAAAGCAAGGCCCATGTTCAATAATTTAAAGTAATGAATGGATCATTCATTAATACATTGAGGTAATATTAGAGCAATTTTCCATGGCTGAGTGGTTTGATGGTCATTAGTGCTGCACGATGTATTGCAAAACCTCTGTGACAGTCCCATGATGAGTAAGTAGCTCCTGAAACACTCTGAAAGGACCTGAGTAATTTCTCTGCTCTGTGAAGGATCTGGACACAAACTTCAAACTTCAACACTGCATTAGTCTAGCTGGCTCCACACCTTCTCTGGGTGTGTGACAGCTTTCTGCATGGAAATCTAAACCTTGCACCTGACTCCTCCTCTGCAGCATTGTGTTCCTCAATGAAGGGACCAAAACCTTGAACTATTTGGGCAGTGACTGCTGCTTGCTAGGTGTGAGAGGGCTTACTACAGAGAGAAAACCAGTCTGGAAAAGGATTACATAGGAAAGAATTTGGCTCACCCATGTCTTGTATGTTCTGCAGCACGAGCAGAGTTATCAGAAACTGCTGGTGAAACTAGAACAAAAAATTGAGGAATTTTCATGCTGGTCTGTAATACACATCTCACAGATGACATATTGTCCTGAGCCTTTTTTGGAAATGAAATGGGAACCAAAATAGCTCAATGAATTACAATTATTCCTAATGGTTCATTTTTCTCCCTAGGCAGAATATGTGAATGCAAACACAGCTCACGTGGAGCACTATGAATTGCACCCCCTTACACTGAACTCCTTGTTCCTTACAAGCGATTTTATCATTGTCTAAGCATTGTCCTGCAACAAATTTCTACCAGCAGGGCTATAATCTGTACCAAGGACATCCATTAGGGCTATAAAGACGTCATTAAAGCAATGCTGCTCCAGAGGGAATGGAACAATCTCAACAATGGTTTTAGATTGTACTAAAGGGCTGCAGAAAACCTTGAAAGGCAGGCAGTTAAATATCGC